CACAAAGCATCGCAATATCAATTTCAATATTGAAATCAATACAGAAGAGAAATCTCTTGTAAGGCTGCATTGTTTAGTGTTCGCATACTCTGCTTTGAACGCAATGCAGCCTTCATTGCATTAGCGAAGGGTTGGTAAGGCACATACACAAGTTAAAGGCGCAGTCCTGGAATTACTTGCTCATGCGATTGCCTCCCAATTAGAGGGAGCACTAGAGAGCCCCTATAAAGGATATGTGGCCGACTTTTCATCCGGTCAGATATATTGGAAGAGGTGGGATTACCCACACTTTACGCCACCACAGGCGACCTGCTTTGTGGACTAACTGCGGTGTATCCAACTTTACTGCTGGATAGACAGAGACGGGGAATGTATATTTATAGATGCTCATTCATTGAGCTGTCGTGCCAGGAGATTCAACCGGCCACCTCCGGATTGCAACTATACATCGCCATTGTTCGAACGGTAGCATCCGGAAACATCCCTTTTGACAATTAACTGCTGGATTAGGGCTGCCCCCCGCCCCCTCCACCAACAATGAGCAACCATACTTCACTAAGTCGGTCAGTGCCGGTTGGTGAAGGTGGGGCGCAGATACGCGAGATCATAGAAGTACGTTACAACGCCAGATTTTCTTTTGCTTTGCTGCATGGCCCACGATCTTGTGGCACAATCCCGTGAACCACCGATGGCAACTTGGCGTCCGTGGTGGTGGGCGGCCACCCATCCCATCCAAGCACTATCCGGGCTCAAATTCTGCTTAGCTTTCGAGATCTGATGAGATCGAGCGCATTCCTGGTGATTTGCTCATTGACTCCTGTGTCTGTGTGTGTATATATATTGTGGGGAACGGTGATGTAGCGGTTAGAGCGCTGCGCTACGAACTTCGCGAGCCCGAGTTCGATTCCCGCTCACGACCAACACCAGTGACGGTTATCTGAACTCGTCCTGGGTTTCCTCCCCTAGGTCGACTCAGCCTCAAATGAGTACCTGGTGCGGTGTGTAAACATCGCCACTGGGGAGACAAAGGCGGCCGGGCGTGGTGCTGGCCACCCCACCCCCTCGTGTGCCGTGCCGGCTTTCATATGTGCTCGCTAACAGCACTTGTCCCAAAAGTATGTTGAGGCTATACGGGGGGCCTTTGTCTTTGTACATATAAACACACGGAAGTGGTCTTCCCACAGCCAAGAGCAACATCGACCCCGTTTAAGGCAATGATTAATAGGGGCACATCTCAAATCGCATTGCTTGTCATGCTACTGAACGCCCGGCTATTGTTTTTGATGTGAAGTCAATACCCGCTTATCGGCCTTGATACCAAATGGCACTCCTAATTAAATGCCGCTCATTGGCGGGCAGCTGGGGCTCAAGTTGAGGCCATCATCCCCATTATATCCTGCAAGGCTTTGCGTGGCGTTTCTCTACGACGCATTGAAGGAAACGCAGAGACGAATCTACAGCTGAGCCGATGCTGTGGACGAGGGCTGCTAAACACGTGCGTGTGTGTAGTGTGCACACGAGTTTATTCCGCGCTCGACTTGCTTGCAATTTGAGAGAGCCACGGTTCTTGCTGTGAATTTATTCTCCGATACACCGCTGTGGTAAAGCAGTAAAAAAAAACACATTGGCACGTCTGTTCACGTGACAGCTTCATTAATTGGCTGTTTCGGGGTGGAGGGGGTGGTTTACGACACGCGTTTTACTTAGGCCATCTGACCCAAACATCAATTATGAATGGACTTATTTTATTCACGAATTTACCGTCGTGCGGAGTATAAATGCACATCGCCAAGATTGTCGTAGTAAATTGCATTTTTTATTTAAAATCCAATGTAAAAATCCTTGTTTGTTGTTTACAACCGTGAAGCTATTAGCATAAAAAAAACCCGACTCATGCATACACAGCAGCCCTAATATTTAAAATGACATCAGCAGTATGCACTTTTTTCTTTTCCTGCAAGCATTTCAGTTTAAAATATATTCATCTGCTCAAACGATTTTTTTAAGAAAAACTTAAGCCGCCAAACACGCTCGCCTCGCCGTTCGGTTAAAGCAATTTATGCACGCAGCCCAATCGCTACCATTTATTACCTGATTATTTAGGCCATCAGGACCTTCCTATTGGAAAAACTCCCAAGGTTGGTTAACCACACGGGCAAATCACGCGTACGCACATCCGAGCTTCAGTGACAATGCACAGTTTTTTTTTAAATATTGTTTTAATGCGTGCGCATGTGCGGATACTCACACACACACACAACCCCATTACGATCATTTGAACAACCGATGCCCTAAATTTAGATTTAAAGCTTTCGTGACTGCAGGGATTCATCTTCTTGGTTCTTTCGGTAAAGTCACGTAGAAGGGAAATAATAAAATAATGAAACATAATAAAATAATTCTCACGACGTTTCGGCCACAACGCAAGCAGCCGTCCTCAGGTGAAGAACAGGTCTGTCGGGAAGACAGCGTCTGAATGGCATTATTTTATTATGTTTTATTTTTATTATATTATTTCCCTTCTACGTGACTTTACCGAAAGAACCAAGAAGATGAACCGATGCCCTGTACTCGTGCTCTGCAATGTGTGTCTCTTTTCGCTGCTACTGCTGCTATACTCAAGCAACAACACGGATCCCGCGTGTAACATAGCCAGGGAACTTGCTAAACTGGACAATCCGCGTAACAATTCAAATACACCCAAACACACGGACCCGATACAAGTACGAGAGGAAGTGTGTAAGAAAAACACGTGTTTTTTTTCTCGGAAAAATATGAGATATGGGTGCATGAGGTTACGTAAAGTCTAAATTCTATTGCAATCCACTCATTTGCAATCCCACAGAGAATTAGACTGCACTTTAGCCACCCGGTTGTCCAACCCTGAAGCTCATCTGCAATCACTTATGAAGAAGACACGCAGAGGTTACAACACATTTCCTTGACACTGCTCCACTCCGGGTGTTTGCGTATTTTAAGACGCTCCGGAAAGTCAAACATGCCCCCCTAAAAAAATTCAAGAAACGACCCCCTAAAAAAAGTGTGCCCCAAGCCAATAAAGTTATACAGATCCGGTCACACACCAACACACCTGCCAGATTATATAATATACCGGTGCCTTAAACCACAAGGACGATCAATGTGTCTTATCGTAAATAGGTGATTGGCAATACAGGAATGTAACGAATATATTTAAGGCACTTATTTATAATCCGACCGCGACGTTTCTAAAGCCTTATTGCTCAACCTAAAATTATCCAATGCACAGTAGTCGTTAACTACGAGTGGTGTAACGGTGATCGGAGTAATTATATGATGCGTGAGCGGCTCTCAGCTCAATGTTTTCTCAGTGGTAAATTAACGCCACCTACTGGCATCGTTTTTAAGTTTTCGGTGTTGAATTGTGCTCGGGTTTTTGTCAGCAACAATGATCAGTCATTCGTAGTTATGTCCTTAGAAAATAGATCACACGATGTGTTGTACATCGGCAGCCCTTCGTCAATCCACTGCTGGATGAAGGCCTCCCCCAAGCCATCACTATCATCATCAGCCATGGTCAATCCACTACTGGATGCAGGCCTCTGCATGCCATTCGGTACCTGCTGCGAAGAATTCTTACCAAACTTCTCCACCCTAGTGCACCTTAGATACAGTTCGATACAGTATATTTGATATTTGTGCAACCCAAAAATATTTATTCGTATAAAAAGTTTTAGCATTTCATAATCTGATTGTGACATTTTCATAGTTAACGTAATTCTTAAAGTAAATATACAGGGACTCCTCTACTCACGAAAATTCGACTTACGAACTTTCAGAGATACGAACAAACCTGTCCGTGTGTCCAGTTGTCTGTTCGGACCGAGAGTCGTAAGTTCAACCGCCGCGCAATAGATGGCGGTGGTGGTGGCATCAACATCTACAGAACGTGAAGAACCAGTGGCATCTACATCTACAGAACGTGAAGAACCAGTGGCATCTACATCTACAGAACGTGAAGAACCAGTGGCATCTACATCTACAGAACGTGAAAAACCAGTGGCATCTACATCTACAGAACGTGAACAACCAGTGGCATCTACATCTACAGAACGTGAAGAACCAGTGGTATCTACATCTGCAGAACGTGAAGAACCAGTGGCATCTACATCTACAGAACGTGAAGAACCAGTGGCATCTACATCTACAGAACGTGAAGAACCAGTGGCATCTACATCTACAGAACGTGAAGAACCAGTAGCATCTACATCTCCAGAACGTGAAAAACCAGTGGCATCTACAGCTACAGAACGTGAAGAACCAGTGGCATCTACATCTACAGACCGTGAAGAACCAGTGGCATCTACATCTACAAAACGTGAAGAACCAGTGGCATCTACATCTACAGAACGTGAAAAACCAGTGGCATCTACATCTACAGAACGTGAAGAACCAGTGGCATCTACATCTACAGAACGTGAAGAACCAGTGGCATCTACATCTACAGAACGTGAAGAACCAGTGGTATCTACATCTGCAGAACGTGAAGAACCAGTGGCATCTACATCTACAGAACGTGACGAACCAGTGGCATCTACATCTACAGAATGTGAAAAACCAGTGGCATCTACATCTACAGAACGTGAAGAACCAGTGGCATCTACATCTACAGAACGTGACGAACCAGTGGCATCTACATCTACAGAATGTGAAGAACCTGTGGCATCTACATCTGCAGAACGTGAAGAACCAGTGGCATCTACATCTACAGAACGTGACGAACCAGTGGCATCTACATCTACAGAACGTGAAGAACCTGTGGCATCTACATCTGCAGAACGTGAAGAACCAGTGGCATCTACATCTACAGAACGTGACGAACCAGTGGCATCTACATCTACAGAATGTGAAAAACCAGTGGCATCTACATCTACAGAACGTGAAGAACCAGTGGCATCTACATCTACAGAACGTGAAGAACCAGTGGCATCTACATCTACAGAACGTGAAGAACCAATGGCATCTACAGGAGATTATACAACTTTTAAAGCCACTCCCCGTGTTTAGTGTACATGCCGTACAACACGTTTGGAATCGACAGGAGTAAAGTTGGACTTACGAACAAATCTCTGGAAGCTGAACTCGTTCGTAAGTAGAGCAGCCCCTGTATGCTCACATATCTAAGTAAATTCGTGATTATTACTTATTACTGTATTAACATACATAGTCGGCTTGTGGATTAGACGTTAATATTAAAGTGTTTAGTTCATTATGAGGTCACCTATGAGGAGACCGAGTGCAAGATATCAATTTCTAAAATTCCATTCACTCTTTGTGAATAGGAGCGTTCCTACGTGTGTCATGCGACGCTGCACATCAATCAAATAATGCACGGTTTGTATCGTCAGTGATTGTATACATTACACAGTAAAAACGCATTCGCCTTGATTGCATTTGTTAAGACAAGCAAAGCCGTAATTAAATAACGTTACATAATTTCAGCAATGCTTGTTGATATTCTACCGCGTTTAACGTTTTATAACGTAAGTAAAGTTTGTCATTTATAATAATTAACTTTTAAAACATTTATGAGTTTTAACACTACAATATAATCCAGTTTAAGAGACAGTTCTAAGCCACCCTGAGGCAAGACTTGACGAGCCAGATTCACATCTTGGCAATGGTGGAGCCAGGATTTTCAGGTAGGGGGGGCAACCCCTCCAGCAATGAAAAATGATAGAGGAGTTGTTAGTAAGTAAGGACTTGTCCCTTGCTTTTTATTCGACGCGTGTGCGGCGATGGTGCAGCCATCGATCAAGGGTCGAAGTCGAACAGTGTTTGATCAGCATCGCACTCGCTGAAGGTGAATGCCTTCAGAGAAGTCGTGTGCTGTATACGCAACTGCGCACAATTCTGATTTACTTATAACTGCTTTGCCGTTACTTATTGCCAATTATGGACTCAGACTATTGTCCTATCATCTCATAGAGTCCCTGGCACGTAATAATATGCTACAAAGTGGCAGTGGGGGTCTCAAAATGCCGATTTATTACTAATAAACCTCAATGATCCGATTGAAATTAGGGATTTCGATTGAATCATTGGGGAGGGGGCACGTGCCACCCCCCCCCCCCCCCACTGGCTCCACCAGTGCATCTTGGCAGAATGGTTATAAGCCTTGGCGTTGTGCCGCGTGGTCGCTGACGGAGACAACCGTGGCGTTTCCAACAACAAAAAATTGTACGACAATGAAGCACTCACCACAGCCCCTGAATCTGGCCCGACGTCTTCGACAGTGAGTCAGTTATATTGAATCAAGTTGTGTTTTTACACAAAACACATTCGGTCATAGTAAAACGCTTTGGATATACTCAATGTATTTTTTCGTCGTCCCATCTCAAATACTAAATTAGAGTTATAGGCCACATGATAACCTTTTTTTTTGGTCAGACATTGTCACGAGAAGGCCCAGCAAAGCAATCCAACTCCTTGCTTTGCTTTTTTCTGCAGAACTCCACATGCTAAATGTCTACGGCGTTAAAACCAGCGCACATGTTCAATCGTGAATGGTCATGGCCAGAAGTATTCATAAAACTTCACCCTCAAGAACCCCCCCTCAGTCCAATCCTTCTTTTAACAACAATAAAAAAAAATCATCAAACCCCAACTAGATGGGGGATGTTTTGTCTTTGGTGGTGGCGGTAGAGGCAGCGGTGATGGTGCCCCCCCCCCCCCCGGTTCTCCCGACTGCGCCTCATATCTCCCGCCCCAGCATGGAGATCCCCCGCACGTCGACATTTTCCGGCTCCGAGTCGTGGTCCCGGTCCGAGTGGAACTCGGCCCACACGGGGCAGTGGTCGGACGCGACGCCGCCCCAGGTCCACCCATCCGGGATGAGGCGGTGAGAGAGGCCCTGACGGACCACGCTCCAGCCACCTGCGGGGAAACGGCGGGGCGGACGCGAGGCGCGCCAGTGATTCACAGGACCGGCGGTTGAGTGGCGACCAAATTGTAGGGAGGGGTGGCATTGGCTCATGTGCATGTGGCTTTGTTGATTGTAACATCGCAGGTCCCTGAGAGATGTTCGTGGATTAGGGAGGCCTTGACGATGAATGATTTACCACTCCCGACCCTACCACTGCCAGTCGATGAACTGTTACAATTCTGGGTTGTGATTCGATTCAACAATTGATTAGTTTTGTTTTATTTGACCATCCCGTTTGTATTGTTTCTCACCTGAAAACTCCCATTCACCCGGCCACCCAGCCTCCCACCTAACCACCCACTCAACCACCAACCCACTCAGCCACTTAGCCACCTACCCAGCCACCCAAACCCACCCGGCCACCCAGCCACCCACCCACTCAGCCACCCAAACCCACCCGGCCACCCAGCCACCCACCCACTCAGCCACCCAAACCCACTCGGCTACCCAGCCACCCACCAACCCAGCCACCCAAACCCACCCGGCCACCCAGCCACCCACCCACTCAGCCACCCAAACCCACCCGGCCACCCAGCCACCCACCCACCAACCCAGCCACCCAAACCCCCCCGGCCACCCAACCACCCAGCCACCCACCCACCAGTGTACAGGCCCTGCGCGGCCGGACTGAGCCACACGTTGTCGAAGGACTTGGAGCCGCTGAGGTTCTTGATGCTGATGTTGGTGAAGACGTCGGCGGGGACGCAGTTCTTGAAGCCCTGCGAGCGCAGAGCGTCAAAGTCGCTTGCGTCCGGCGTCAGGTTGAAGTCCCCCAGCAGCAGCGTGTCCTTCTCGCCTGCTCACAACATAATAATACTTTCATTTTATATTCCGTCATTAATGCGAATAGCATCCCACAACGCCGTACATTCATTATGTATAAGAGACCAAATCCCATATACAGCCACTCTCAAGCAAATGAAAACCCTACTTTCAAGCTAAATAAATGAATGAGCTAATTAACCAATTGCACCAAAACAAAAAGCACAAACAACAAAAAAGTTACCACAATAGAGAAATTAGTCCCACTCGGTCTCAACATCTCAGACCACAGTCCCAACTTCCCAACCGAGCCAGGACACCTTCCCGACGGCACGGGGCGCGCGACTCGCGAGTGACACCGCTGCCAAACTAGCGGTGGCTTTGCCACTTGCTGCCCGCGGAATGGCACGTGGCCTCCGTGCCCCTTCAGAGGACCTTGGGCTACGTCGCGCGGCAACAGAGGCAGTGCAGCAATATTACCTCCGAATTCACCAACCCGCATTGGCCGGTGTGACGAAGTACGGTAAACGAATGCCCTTCTCCCCCTCCCCATGACTTGAGCGACGTGGGGAAGCCCCCATCTGGCAGCGGATTGACAAACGGGCTATACGCATCCATATATGTACGCACATTTGTTGGACTTCTTTCGCGCCGCACGTAGATCTAAAAACTCTTGACAACTAATTACAACTGCTTTTTGTGTTTAGTTTGTTGTCCTTCCCCCCCCCCCCCCCCCGCACGTCCAATGAGCACGGTTGGCTACGTACGGTGCGAAAGAAGTTCAACGTACATACATACGCACGTAGTCGACCATAATTATCGGTGCTGCTGCTGCGCTATCGGCATCGGAGCCGTGTGCAGCTCTCTCTGACTTTTTGTTGTTATGGCAGCTCCTGAGCACGGCTGCCAATGGCTTTAGCGCCGAGCGGCGATGCGAATAAAATCACCGGCGACGAGCGCGGCCGATGGGAACCGACGCATTTCTCAAGAGGGCGGTTTGGTAAAACCCGTTGTTGTGCTGAACTTGTATGCTCCCACACCCATGCTACGTGTAATCGCCAACTCGTACGGCGGTAATAGGTGCTCGCGAACAGCGCTTGCCCCAGAAGCCTGTTCAATGGAACTTTGTCTTTGTGTCCTGGTGCGGTGTGTAAACATCACCACTGGGGAGACAAAGGCGGCCGGGCGTGGTGTTGGCCACCTACCCCCTCATGTGCCATGGCGGCCTTCGTAGGTGCTCGCTAACAGCACTTGCCCCAACAGTTTGTTCAGGCTATGGGGGGGGGGGATCTTTGTCTTTTGTGGTGGTTTGCGAGCTGCACTATGAACACAGCGAACCAAGTTCGAGATGCCCAATATCCGAACCGGTCCTGGGTCTCTCCAAGGTTGACCTGGTGCAGGGTCTAAACGTCAGTACTGGGAGAGAGACAAAGGTGGCCGGGCGTGGCGCTGGCCATCCCGTCCCCTCGTGTGCCACAGTGCCGGCCTTCGTAGGTGCTACTCGCTAACAGCACTTGCCCCAAAGGTCCGTTAAGGCTCCACGAGGGATGTCTGTCTGTGTGTGTGGGACCCACCACTCAGGTGCTCCTCCAGCAGGTCCAGCAGCTGGGGCAGCTTCATGATCTCGAGCTGCAGCTTCTCGAGCTCCGCGTTGCCGAGCCCCGTCGCCTTGAGGTGCACGTTCACCAGCGTGAAGTCGAACCGCCCCGCCTGACCGCGTGCACGCACGCCGCCGGCAATAAACATCAACGACAAACATCGACAAACAGCAACGAACGTCAACAAACAATAAAAAAACATCGACAAACATCAACGAACATCAATAAACAATAAACAAACAACAACGAACATCAATAAACATCAACAAACAACAACGAACATCAACAAACAACAAACATCAACAAACATCTACAAACACCAATAAACATCAACAAACAACAAATGTCAACAAACAACAAAAACAACCCAAAACATCAACAAACATCAACAAATAGCAACAAACAGCAACAAACGGCAGATTTAGGTCCTTTGGTATCCACACCGATCTTCTACCACAAAGACTATCCATCTATCGGGAAGGCGCTATGTTTCACGGACGCGCATAGTCTGCCAATAGCGCGGCCGATGTTGTTAAGCGTTGGGTTTTTTTCCCGCACGCTTAGGCGACTAGTAAAATTAGTGAGTGCTTCATGAAATTTGGAACATCTGACACCGGCATAGGCGGTCCACTCTTGTTTCGCATAAAGTCACGGGAACTGTCAAGTTCCGCTGCAAACACAACGGCAGTATTAACCAGGGCGGCCGCCGTGCTCAACCCGCGAACCCATGCAACAAGCGGCTTGGCTGTGTCACCGCCTTTACAACAAACAACCACCACAACAATCGTGGCGGCTATTCGTCTCTAAGTGACGATGCCTGTGCCAGGCTAAGTGGACCTTGGGACGTGTTGGAACTGTGATGCACTGGTTGGCAAGCTGCGTTGCGAATCAGCTCACTTGGGCTTGATTTAGTTCAGGAACCTGGCCCTGCTTGGCCCCAAGTCAGATTCAAATGTCTTGTGTGAGGTCAGCATAGCACGGACATTAGTTCCGGCTCGGCATGGCAAACAGCCAAGTAAAAAACAACCTGCACAGAGGGGGCCTCACACTGGCTCAGGCTCTGATTTGCAGTGGAAAAAGGGTTGTTTGTTTTTGTCTGTGGCTGTACGCACCTTAAAGTAGCCAAGGTACGGGTAACGAGCAAAGTGCTTGCTCCCTTTCTTCTTCCTGACGAGGCCCTCGCTGAGCAGCTCCAGGCCTGACGAGGCATCCCACGCGAACCCCGCGTACTCCATGCTCTGTGGCCGCGCGTAAGCACACACACAAAGATGATGATCCCCCATTTAGCCTTAGTGGACTGTTGGGGCAAGTGGTGTTAGCGAGTAGCATCTATGAATGCCGGCACGGCACTCGATGGGGTGGATGGCTAGCACCACGACCAGTGGCGATGTTTACACACCGCACCACGAATGGAGGAGTCAACCCTGGGGAGACCAAGGAACAGTTCGGATATTCGTCACTGATGTTGGCGGAGAGTGGGAATCGAACTCGGGTCCTCGGGTAGGTAGCGCACCGCGCTAACTGTGACGCTGCCGCTGCCCCACGAGTGGTCTTGATTGGTGGTGGCGCCACAGCAAAAACGGTTGAGAACCACTGCAGTATTCTTCCGCTCCCCGCACCCACACACACCCACACGCACGCACACCCACACACACGCACGCACCCGCACCCACACCCACGCACACCCACATGCACGCACACCCACACACACGCACGCACACCCACACACGCACACGCACCCACACACACCCACACACACGCTCACCCACACACACGCACACGCACGCACACCCACACGCACACCCACACGCACGCACACCCACACACGCACACACACGCACCCACGCACACCCACACGCACGCACACCCACACACACCCACACGCACGCACACGCACGAACACCCACGCACACCCACACACACCCACACGCACGTGCGCCCGCGTGCCCCAGCGAGTCGGTCCTCAGACGGGGCGAGGCAGCCGCCAAAGTTTCCACGCAACGTCGCCTCTCTAGGCCAGTGCTCCCAAGGCAGCTCAGTGTGCAGTGAGAAACACAGTCTCGACCACCACCATCGAGGCCTTCATCACCGTGCTCGGGAATTAAGTCCAGCCGGGGCCTGTCGGCATTGGCGAGCCGGAAAATATTTCCGCGCCCGGCACACCACGTCCACCATACTTCTGGCTATGGTTCCGGCTACTAGTCATGTCCTGTCTCTAGGACTTCCGAGTGAGTAGCGTTTCGAATGTCACTCGCCACTGATGTCAGCTGCGGCCGAGAATGGTTCACCGCTGAATCTCGGAACGCACAAGCGTGTTAGCATGAATGTTATTTAGAGAGACGTAGCGCCACTGTTTTTAAACACACTACTCACCTCACACAACCGCACCCTACGAAAGCTGGCGCCGAACTCTGCCACGCGCCCTCCCGCATGGCCTATTACTTTACGCACGTCATCGGAACGGGAAAGGGGTTAAGCAACAGCGGCAGCGGCGGCGGCGACGACGAGGGCGGCAGGTCCTCACCTGGTACATGGGTCCCGTGGGGTTCTCCGAGACGACGCAGCGCCAGTCTCCTCGGGGCCTCGGCCAGTCGCGGACGGAGCGTAGACTCGGCGTGTTGAGCTCCGCGCACAGCTGCGGAGGTGGCGGCAGCAGCGGGGCGGCACCGCGTTAGAGCGACGACGCGACAGCGACTGCCGTGCGTTACGGCTTAGAGCGGCGGTGGCGAATTGGCGTCTCCCGAGAGCTGTGAGCGGCTCTTTAATCCGCCCGCACGCGGCTCTATCGGAGGGGCGTAACGTAGAATGCACTATCACAGCAGCAGCAAGGAATAATGAATGTCTCTCTTGCTGTGCCGAAAACTGGCGATGTTTACACATATATACACATATGTGTGTGTCAGATGTTCTACGTTCAACTCTTAATTACCCAGGGGGTAATATGGGGGGGGGGGGGGGTGTATCCCAGATACAACTAAACATGGACTATGCAAACGTACTTACATTTGACAATATAATTGTACTTATTATTTACATATACGCATAATGAGAGGGTGTGGAATGCGTCATCTGCACTTTTTGCTTCGTAAAGTAACCGGTTTGCATTCCCAGGTCTTAACAGTCACATCAGAATCAGAATCTTTACTTAGACTGGAGGAATCCGGTGAGCTACAGTACGAGTCTCTTGTTCACAGATGTCCACACAGGCACCGAGTCACCTACATACGATGAGCAAGCGGCCGCTAATAATTGAACCGGCAGGCATAATCCGCCCAGGAGATAATCGAGGGTGAACCGTATATTCAGATGGACAGAAGACATCTTAACCGGCAGTGTGGGTTTCTCTTGAATTGCGTGTTTACACTTTGGTCAGGGGGTTGATTCGGTCCCATTGCTACAATGTGGAACTTCCATCAGTGGTTCATGGTTGCCAATGGAGATAAAACTCCACTCCAAGCTTGTTTGGAGCATGGAGACAATTGGACTTGACCGGCGAGAATATTGAGTTTATCGTTTTAAAACGATTGCTTTAATGATCCTAAAGCAAGAATATTTTTTTATAAATAGAAACATAACTTGTAACACAAACTTACCCGCAGATATTTTCTCAAAATGAAAGAGGGTTGTCTATTTTAGAGATTGTAAAAATATAACACGAACAAAGCTCCCCCATATAGCCTTGACAGATTGTTGGGGCAAGTGGTGTTAGAGAGTAGCAGCTATGAAGGCCGGCACGGCACACGAGGGGGTGGGTGGCCAGCACCACACCCGGCCGCCTTTGTCTCCCCAGTGGCAATGCTTACTACACACTGCACCAGGTGCTCATTTGAGGCTGAGTCGACCTAGGGGAGGCCCAGGACCGGTTCAGATAATCGTCACTGGTGTTGGCCATGAGCAGGAATCGAACTCAGGTGGCCGGGTTCGTAGCACGCTACGCCACCGCTCCCCACTATATATATACAAACACAGACACAGTAGTCAATGACCAAATCACCAGGAATGCGTTCCATGTCATCAGATCTCGAAAGCTAAGCACAGTTGGCCACCACAACCGCCACAACCACCATGCACGCCAAGTTGCCATAGGTGGTTTACGGGATTGTGCCACAGACACAAAACAAGGAGTCAACTCTTACCTTCTGCAAAGCGACCTTATCTGCCAACTCCTGCACGGCCAGAAGCTTGATCCTGCGGTTAGAACATCCCAGCACGACGAAGCAAACATTGATACATTACCACCAGTGGTACCACCTGAGCTACGACCGTTTATAATCGCATAAAACATGCAAGCCTACGACTAAGGCTAAAGATGTCGGCACAGTAATTTGTATTAAATTCATGACCTAGCTATGGGAAAACTAACTAATAATTCACAGAAAGGTGCAATTGTTTGTGTTTTACAGCCATTTTCCTAAGATTTCATACTTTAAGGTTCACAATTTTGCGTGACACTTGTGCCCGCTTGCAGACTACCAACATATCTGTGCGGAGTTGCAGTGGCTCTGTCCACACATCTTAATCTGCAGGGTTAAGATGTGTGGCCAGTAGGTGGCAGTACAGCAAATTCCTCGCTGCCCCTATCTGTAGGTTCAGACCACTCATCACTGCTGTGAGCCGTGGCTGGGAATCGAACCGAGTCTGTTTCACCAACAACAACACAATAATATAAAACGTTTAGAACTATCCTTGAAAACAACTTGTTTCGTACATGTCTATATTTATGTATTGTTTTACAATCGATAAACCACTTAGGCAGTACGTCAGTTCGTGTTGTACATAAACACCACTCGTAATAATGATCCAGGTCTGGGGATGACAGCCTATCATTCCTGTTGGGGGCGATAAAACTAGCACCGATTTATGGAAATGTAACAGTGGTCATCCTTCAGCATATATGGCTGTCACGATGAAAACGGGGAATTTCCGCGGGCTTAGAACAGCCACAGAATAATCATTGCCGCCCAATGTGGAATTCAGACTTCAATTACGTGATCAGCGCCAAAAGAATGCTACCAAACAGGAATCTAGCAATGGCAACGATCATGGCATGAAACAGAGGCGGGGGGATGATCGGGAAAACGATAGCAGCAATGGAGTGGAAGAGACGCTCTCGAATGGAGAGGAATGACACACCGAAACATCAGCAACAGGTGGCATATGATGATCGCCAACAGAGGAGGACTGCTGTCGGAAGATCGTGGACCCAGTGGCCTTCAACAAAGGCGCTGGGACAGGAAGCCGAGAATGCTCATTTGAGCCAGGAAACATTTTCACTCTGACTTGAATAAGAACACCAACAGAGGGGGCAAATCCTATGACGCCGTGACCCCGTACTCTTTTAACACGTAGTAGTAGGCTTTTGCGACCAATATTATCCACAATAAAGGTTTTTTTTGGGTCAGATCGCGTAGATACAAATGCGTCGTTAACCCCACCACCACCCGACAGCCAATTAGTTAGGTTTGTCAAGAAAAAAAAACGTGCCAATTCGTTGCCAGTCCAGCACACCGATATGTTTTGGAGAGAAAACCAACAACATTTACAATTCAAGTGCCGTGACGTTTTCGCTGGTGATTGCAACAACCGGCTTCATCAGGCGACAGCCAAAATTGTGAAGTCCTCCTGTTTCCGTCTGAAACCCTTACCCTTGTTCCAGCAGTGTGAGGCACACCACCTCCCTCACGCCGTTGTTGTCCATCTTTTCGGCCGAGCAGCACTGCAGGTTCCAGCTGGCGACACGCACGGCCGGGCGACCTCGCACGACCCCAGAAAACGACTCCACTTGGGGCCTGGGAATGGGCGCCGGGAAGTCAGGGCGCAGGCACGGGCACGTCGGGTAGCAGAGGCCGTCGGGGGCGATGACGGCGGGAGGGCCGCCGCCCCCGTCGCCGGTCCCGCCGGCGCCTTCTCCCCCTCCGCCGACGGTCAAGGAAGGCCGCAGCCTGTCGACGAACGCCGCGCTGACGCCCTTCACTTTGGCCAAGTCGTCGACGGTCTCGAAGGGCCCGTTGGCCGTGCGGTACGCGACGATGTTCGCCGCCGTCTTGGTGCCGATGCCCTTGATCGTGGTGAGCTGGGCCTCGCTCGCCGCGTTGAGGTCGACCGGCGACGCGGAGCCGTCGACGGACTCGACGACGTCCGCCGAATTCACGCTCGGCGGTCGAGAGTCGGCGTCGGATTGAGGGGCATCTTTAAACTGAGGATTCGAAGGCTCCACGCAGGACAAGGTGTCGCCCATGGTTTCGGGCGGCGATCCTTGTCAGGCCTCCGAGCGGTGCGCGTGGAACGTTTGGTCTGAAAAATAACGTTCGTCCGGACGAAGTTTGGCACCGTTCACTAATTTATACTCGAGTTAAATTATGACTTATTCGTGATTAGTTTGTGTCTTGCCATTTCATGACAATGCAATGAAAGCAGCACTGATGTTTTGTTTGCTTATATATGAAAACAAAAAATATGTTTAGCTATTTTTGTTTTTGCTATACGCAACAAGTTTCAGTGGACGGTCCATACACCCTGAGCGTAGTGGCTGTAAGAGTGGGATATTAATCATCGGATTGTGCACTTGTGCCCTAGACAGCCTCGGGCAAGGGTTACCACCTGTCCTGATTTTCCCAGGATCAGGCTCTTGTAGCTCCCATCTTGGTAAATCTCCAAGGCTCCAACAAACATACAGGTTCTGCCCCAGTGCCAATCTTGTGAGATGGTCTATCTCCTGTATATTGTGGCTGCTTTTGTACCTCAAGGGCAACAGCCCTACTGGAGACGTCTGGAGACTTCTTCACCTGTGTGCGAGTCAAGCCAGACCCTGTACAGACTGAGTTAACCTCCGGCTGTTTCCCTCCTCCTCGAAACTAACCTTGAGCAAGCGCGCTGGGAATGTCGCTATCGAACAAAACTTTGCGAGCACGCCACCGACGGCCGCATGGTTGCCGCGCGCAGCGAGCGTGACATTGGGAAAAGGGGGTTACCGTGCACCGCGCGACGTTGCGTAACGTGCCGAGTTGTTTTGTCGGCGACACGACGGCGAGCGGAGCGGCACACGTAACCTCGCCCGGGCCTTGAATTACAGGTCGCTCCGCGCGCAGTATCGTGTATCGCGCCCGGTGTGATTTTTGCGGGGATCGGACTTCGCGAGCGCCACGTCAGACGGAGGGTTGTGCCGAGCGCCGGGAGCCGCGCCGATCGCGTTCCACGTCGCGTCGAGATTCGCGTGGCGTCTCGCGTGGCGGTCGGTGCCGGGGCGCCGTGTCCTGTATCGCACGGGGTGTTGTGTGCGGTGTGTTGTGCGTCGTCGCGTCCCCGGGGACACCGAGAACAGCCGCCGTGGTTTATCAGAGAATCTGGCCTCGAGTCGATCATCTGGTTGTCACGAGTGTGCCCTGGGGAGGGCAACGGCGATTGTGCTGGGACCGAAGGGGGTGGGGGAGTGGATGAGTAGCTTGACAATTTTGCCCACTCGGGAGTAATTGCCGTCGAAATTCCTTACGAAAGAGCAACTGACATGAGAGAACGTACACGGAGTAGGAATCAAGGCGACTAATCCAGGTCAAGGACATGTGACGAGGATGAATGGCGGCCGGCTGCCGACAGTTGGTAAAGGAGGTGAAACACTGGGAGGTGGTAGGGGATGAGAAGGAAGCCACGGTCTGACTGGATGTCAATCATCAAACTTCAAACGCTGCACGGTTTCGAAGCTGTCTCGGTTGTATGACGCAGCGACAAAACAGAGGAAAGTGGAAGATGCACAATTCAAGGGAGATATCGGCGGTGAAGGAAATGGGTCCCATTGCAGGGAGCATGATGTAACCGGGACGAGGGCCCCCTTTCCCCACTGAACCCCGAGTCTACACGAGGTGGATCCCCATGCTGCACGCTCACCGACAGCTCCCTGGAGGTGAAGTTTCCTCCTCCAAAGAATCACGCATCTGGGATAGTCCCCTCGCCGTAATCGTCGTGTGTGCGACTAAACCCGTTGGGTAGTGGGCTGTGGCCGCAGACAAATAGTGCCCTTTAACACACGCGAATGCCCGTCAAAGCGAATTACAAATTGAAGATCAGTTCTTGAAAATTGGACGTGGCCTCTATTTTAAATGTACAGTGTGAACTTCAAAATCGTTTTTTTTGTTCCCGTGAACACCAAATCGGGAATCTAGATTTCCTCAAAGTCGATCTTCAAAGTCACGTGGATACGAGGATTCCACCACAGAGCCGTCTGGGTTCAAACAACGTAATTTCCCTTTCCTCCATGTGAACACTCGTTATTTTGAAAGTGACATTTTCAAAACCGAGCTTCTCCTTTGAGTCATATAGAGATGTTTGTGCTTGCTCTCTTGTTTCTGTATTTCATCAGCAGCCATGGCCAATCCACTGCTGGATGAAGGCCTCCCCAAGCCACAGCCCGTGATGTAATAATCCACCTTGCACCTACACACAAGCTGATTTCATCACTCCATCTCCTCGGAAGCCATTCTCTCTGCGTTCCATTCCTCGACTACCGATACATTATTAATAATTATTAATAATCTATTCTTCTTGACCACCAGCCATCACCAACCTGCATAAGTTCTCTAGTCCACATGTTCCTTTCATGAACCGTTCCGTCATTGTAATGTTCTGACCTGCCCCTGCTTGGGCATCTGCGAAACAGAGCTTCATAACTCTTCGGATTCTTCCAGTATAAATAAACATTCAGATTCTGAACCACAGGTCAGAGCAGTGCATCGTACACACTTGAATGTATCCCAGATCACAGCTGCAAGACAGACCTATTGCCTCATTGGGCACTCAGCTGCTTCTACGTTTAAGGAAAAGCAAAACGACCATAGGGAGTTGTGCCATTGGCCAGGCTGTAGCAGCAGTCAGACTGGCACCGTGCGATGAGGGCTTCACAAACGTCTGGCCGGTAGCCAGGATCATACCAACCACCAGATGCACCTGGCTTGTGGGTAGAATGGTATACGCTTAGCAGGGAGGGAGATTCAGTCAGGATAAGCCTTGTGAAATGCAAAATACAGACGTTATCAGAAACTGTCGTTACGCAATATAAAATAATCCCACCCTAGTGAAATATGTGCAGAGCCCTTTTGCTCAAACATGTAATCCACCGCCCCTTCGTGAATCCATGGCTAAATGAAGGCCTCATTATGCCTCGTCAGTCATATGGGGGGTGAGGAAATGGTTATTTGACCATACCTCACCACACTGCGAAGTGCAAGTTGGTGAAGGGTGGGTGTCAGAACCTCTTCAAATATCACTCGCCACTGGTGTTGGCCGTGGCCGGGAATCAAACTCAGGGTGCAGTTTTCAGAGGCGTAGTACGAAACCACTGCATGACCACCATCCCTCCTCTAAATGTTGTATATCGTGCATTGTACGCCATACGTACGCGCCTACCTGGGTGCCACTGTTGCCAGGGAACTCATCACAATCTGGTGGAAAGTTCAAATCAGAATCTTTCATCAAAATCCGTATCAGAATCTGTATTTGTCCTGGAGAAATCCGATGAGCCATGAAGCTCTTTTGTCACAGACGTCCACGTGGGAGTCGACTTGGCACATTGTCAGCCGCTGGATAAATTGTCCTCCGCCATGGGAATGTGGAATTTCCACTGCTGGCTGTAGGATCACCATTTGACACGTGTCAGGTCCGAACGCTCTTCTGAGTAGCTGCTTTGTCACGTGCAAATACTCGCCAACACCAGCGGCGAGTGATATTTTATACTCTTTGGTTCTTTCGGTAAAGTCACGTAGGTATAAAATAAAATAAATCACGACGTTTCGGGCGCAACACAAGCTGATGACGGACGCTTGTGTTGCGCCATAAACGTCGTGATTTATTTTATTTTATACCCACGTGACTTTACCGAAAAAACCAAAGAGTATGGATTCCTGCAGTCACGAACGCTTCAAATCAAGATTGATATTTTATATTTAGTTTGTTGTCGTTCCCCTGCACCTCCGATTAGCACGGTTGGCTACGTACGGTGCGAAAGAAGTTCAACATACGGTGTTTGGTACAAATCGATGCACGTATCGAATTAGTAACCAGTACCGAAGCTTGGCATGCTTTCCCTTAGCTTTCTCGTCTCACACACCAAGGGAGGTGGAATTATTTGGTTCACTCATGATAATGTTTCGGACGATGCATGAACAATGTAGAGTCTTCCCTATGACTCGAAACCAAACAACCTTAAATTCTGGAAATGTGGGTGTCCAAATTGTAGTGTTGGGATTGTTTTCTGGGTTTTTTAAGTATTTGTGAAAATGTATATAGAGACTGTTGTGCCAAATACGGTACCATTTTTATACAAATTATAGAGCATCATTAGAATGTACATCAATCACTGCCTAAATCTATTGTGGACAGTATTATACAGTCAATGGAAACACATTCAGCTAAGGGGCCGTCCATAAATGACGTCACGCGATTTTGGACGATTTTTACCCCCCCCCCCCCTTCGTCACACGGCGTCACAAAAAGTCAGACCCCCCTCAAATATGACGTCACAAAGCTCTGTCCCTCCCCCCAAAAAAAAATGCTTCAAATCGCTATAAACTATTGTCATTGTAGTGCGTGTTTAATGTGGCGCTGCACTCTGATGTTGTAGGAGAAAACATTTATTTAAAAAAGTCTATTTAATTAAGTAGAACGTGTTGTCTATATTTATTTAAAGTTGCGCATTTTGATGTGACGTCACATTTCTCAAACCCCCACCCCCTCGTGACACATCGTCACAAATGTCTGACCCCCCCCCCCCCTAGGTGCGTGACGTCATTTATGGACGGCCCCTAAACGCAAGTAATATTACTGCAACAAGTTAGCATTAGTTATTTCCATGTATATTTAAATATCTGTATATTGCACTTACGTATGACTGTAATACTGTACAACTGTCTAAACATAACCAAATGAGCCATGGCAGCTCTTACAAAGAGTCCCCATGCAGTGAAATAAAGAGCAGTTACATAACATGACCCATTCATTCATTCATTTGCTAAAAAGGCCACGGTGTTGTATTGTATATACAGTACATGTGGATGATGTGGAGGGAGTTGTGCGTTTTCTTCGTGACCCCAAGAAAAGATTAACATCGAGACAACGGCAGTAGCCAAGAATGTATAAGACAAAGACCTCCCTATATAGCTCTAACCGGCTGTTGGGGACAAGTGCTGCTAGCGAGTAGCACCTATGAAGGCCGGCACAGCACACACAAGAGGGTGGGTGGCCAGCACCACGCCCGGGTGTATAACAAAGATCCCCTGTGTAGCCTCTAACAGACTGTTATAGAAAGT